GGGGGGTGACACCTTACATTGAGGAATCAAATTGGCATTCAATCCAAAAAAAAGAACAAACAAGCAACAAAAACAACCAAAAAGCAAGCAAACAAACAAACAAGCAAACAACGAACCAGAAAAACAAACAAACAAATAAGCAAAAAACCAACCAACCAACCATACAAATAAACAAGCAAACAAACACACACACACAAACAACAAAAACATACAAACACACAAACAAACAAATAAGCGAAAGAAGGAACGCACAAACAAACAAAAAAATAAACAGACATAACCTCACCCCGTATCTGGCGCCCTGCGTGGAGGAAAAGACCTCTGTCTTGGTGTAGTCGATGGCGTCTCCCGTGTTGGTTCCGCCGCCCATGAAGCTCAGCCCGTCGATGGCGTGCAGAACTGACAGGCTCTGGTTGTAAATGTCCAGCGCGAACTCCAGGGATGGGTGGTTCCCGTACTGGACAACGCCCACTCTCACTTTGTCTTGGTCAATGGGAAGCTGGAGTGTCCAAAGAAAAGCGTTGACAGTTATTTTTAGTAAGAGTTTTACGGCACTTGCAGCACAGTAAGGTTATGATATAAGTGCCGAAGATTAGAGGTGCTACAAGAGAGTAACAAACATGAAAAAGAAGAAGGAGGGATAGAAACGATAGTTGTTTTATCGGAAAGAAGGAGTAACACACCCTAGAGCACCCGCCAACCACCCACAAGCGTTTACAGAATGGTAGGTATCTTTTTTGTAAGTGTTTTACGGCACTCGCAACTGCATAAGGTCATATGAGCGCGCCTTTGAATAAGAGGCCAACGCCTTAACCTCTAGGCCACGAGAGCCCCCCTTACAGAATGTTGTAGTGAGGGAAGTTTGTATAATTAGGGTCCAAAAACTTTAATTTCGATTTTCTCAGAACAGCATTTTTCGGGATAGCCCCCTTGTACTTAAAAGCAACCAATTTACCTAATTATGTTGTTAATGCCGTGAAACTCTTCCCAAAACAAAATTACCTGAAGGACGAAATCCTTGAGGAAGTCTTCTAGATGCTGGAAGTCACTTTGCCCTACACTGGAGCTGGAGTCAACGATGAAGACCAAGTCCGCCTTCTGGAGGCATGAGTTAGGCGCTGGCAGGCTTTGGGAGCTCACAGGAACCTCTGAGGGGTGTGAAAAGTGAGTGTGAGTGTGTGAGAGTGTGTGGGGTGTGTGGGGGATGGGAGAGGGTGGGGTGTGAGAAGTGTGTGTGTGGGGGGGATATGGGTGGGGAGAGGGGGTGGGGTGTGAGAAGTGTGTGAGTGAGTGTGGGGTGTGTGGGTTGGAGGAGGACATGGGGTGTGAGAAGTGTGTGTTCGTGTGGGGGGAGGGGAAGTGTGTGTGTGTGTGTGAGTGTGTGTGTGTATGTGTGTGT